ATAGGTTTGCACTATATATCCTATACACAGAATAGGTTTGCACTATATACCCTATACACAGGATAGGTTTGCACTATATATCCTATACACAAGATAGGTTTGCACTATATATCCTATACACAGAATAGGTTTGCACTATATACCCTATACACAGGATAGGTTTGCACTATATATCCTATACACAGGATAGATTTTCACTATATATCCTATACACAGAATAGGTTTGCACTGTTAAAACTATAGGGTAAAGCTGTATACAGGATATCAGTATCTGTACTGTATCTAAAGGTTTGCACTGTTAAAACTATAGGATAACGCTGTATACAGGCTAGAAGTATCTGTACTGTATCTATAGGTTTGCACTGTAAGAAAGGTTAGCACTGTATAACCAAGACCCTGAGTAAAACTAGGGCCTGTATTAAGCCTACTGCCTGGAGCAATATCAACTGGTTTCGAGTTCAATTATCTATATTCTACGAAACTATTACTTAAATTTTCCTAAATCCAATCATTTAAAAATGCAACAATAAATTATTTTGCTTGTAAGGTTCAAACCTGAATGAAACATGAGTAGGGAAATAATATTAATGATGAAATCATTACGCCACAATGTCTAGGCATTTTATAACAATTCAAGTGGGATAAATCTAAAACCACCTGTGAATAAAATGTCAAAGCTTTTAAGCTTTTTTATTCCAAAACTAGCGGGAGTACCCGACATTGCCCAGGTTTATATTAATAATAGTTACTTCCACCGTTTATCTGCGCTTGGTTTTAAGCGATAATCATGCATGAAGTGCCCGGCGGTGCCCGTGGAATTTCACAAATGAAATAAAATAAATTGCCTATGTTACCCCCGGGGTGTGCACAAGGGATAATATTTTATGACAAAGAACTCGCTTATTTAAGCAAAAAGGTTTTGGTTAAAAAAAATTACAACTTTAAAATTAAAATTAATTCCTGATCCCTAATTATTATTGAAAACTTAAATTTCAGACATTAACCAAATGGAGGTTTAGAAAAAACAATTCTTTTTTTAAGAAAAAAATTAAAGCTTAAAATCTATATTAGTCTACCTGACTATTAATCATCTGACCATAATTACCAATCATACCATTAAAAAATCTAGTAGTAAAAGAGAAAAAATCTAGTAGCAAACATTTAAAAAACTATATATTTAATTTAACATAAACACCTTGCTCCGAGAGACTGAAATGGATTTTAAATAAAAACCCCGTGAAAAAAATATTGTAAATAAGATTAAGGTACAAGAGAGAATTTGAGAAATTATCATATAATGGACAAATTGTCATTGTCAATTGATAAGAAAAGAAAAAATCTGAATATATATGTAAGTTTAATATATTAAGCCTGCCTCTGGCTTTTGGGGGATCCTAGGGGGTGCACAGGGGTACCGCCCCCCCCACACTACGCCCCTGTACCCAACATCCTCCCCTTTTGTTACATGTTTAAAAATATAATTTTTTCAATTTTTACTCTCATTTCAAATGTCAAATGTAAATAAATAATAGTTTTGAATGAAACCTCTTTCCAGCCTTGAATTTTTAAAAAATAAACTGACATTTAAGAAGTATTTGCTTTATTGTTCAATACTTGTTTTACGATAAATAACTGTAAAAGCTAAAAACGTTTAAACTTTTAACAAAGGAGAACAAGACTGTAAAGATTAGGAAATGCAGCAAAAAATCTCCAAATTCAATCTGACTTCTAAATATCATTTGAAATCTTTTTGATCCTTTTCTTTTCTTTGTGCAGACGTATGTTTCCATTCATAACTGTACCCTTTGAAACTTTGATAACTGAGATATCCAGGCAGGACCAGGATATATCTTCCAAAATAATGATTAATTTAATTTGAAGTTTCCCTGTTAAATTACTTGCGGATTTCTTTATATAAAATAAAATGTGATAATTATAGACTCTTTCTAGCAACAAATTACGATATCATCCATATTATTGGTCAGTTAGAGGTTTCAAAAGCTGGTGACGTATATTGTGAATCTCACATAAGCCACTCTAAAAAAGGGGGCTCACTTGAACTATACGTCTACACTCTACAGTCCCTTCCCTCTGTTGACAGGAAATCAAGATTGAAAGATTTCCCAGAAATGTTGAAACAACTCTTGCCAATTTCTCGAAATATCTTGTGACTGTATATGTAGAGCTGCTTGTATACGCTCTAGTTACAGTCGCTTTTAAATTATAATTATGCCATTCCTAAAATTAATTAAGCAAAACCGTGTACAATTCGTCCAATTATGACAATCAGCTGTTATACTATACTTAGTATGGGTTAACAGAAAAAAATCGCAGATAATTTTGTAAACGAAAAAAATTTCACCATTACAAATAGTTCAATTGCTATTGAACTATTTTTAACAGGTTTAAGTGTGCGCAGATGGTTCACAGAACTGTTCTATCCGGGCTCGTCGCAGTACACACTATACAGATACACACACACTTTGTCTTCCAGAAATAGGTCCAAAATAATCAATGAAAACGTTGAAGAATAATTTCCTGTATTTTGTCGGTTTAGATCTGAGATTTTCTCGTCAAGGTTCTTGGATTCACAGATTAGGGTTCTATGGTTAGAGACGTAAGGGTAGGCGTGCCCCGCAGAGGGGCGGGGCGGGAAGTATTGGCGTGTCGAGGACCAACCCAGTTAGAAAACTGAGGTTAAGGCTTGAGCCGCTTGATAGTTGATACCGCCATGTTAAGAAAGCAGATCTGCGCATGCTCAGCAGTGTATACTGCAGTATCAATATACGAAACCGGAGCAGGACTGATACACTTCTCAACCCTTCTCATCATTCTTCTGTCAATTTTCACGGAGCTATATTTAGACTATCTTAAATTTATGTTCTACCCTTCCTGTTACTTTATGAAAAAGGTGGAAAGGGAAAATTTAAGGCTGGGGGAGGTTTAACTTAATCTATGACAGATCCTAGACCTGGGTTCGGAGTATAGAGAGTACTCAGAGTACACAGTATACACTGAACTAGATAGAAACGTACAAGGGGGGATAAAACAGGAATTTAATATGAAGCAGGGGAAATTCAGCAACTGGACCTTTAATTATAATTATACTATCATTAATTTTAGTCAGAGAAACAGAGCTAATTCCTGACTTCAGAATAATTACAATTCATCTCTTATGTATGATGTCATCATAAAAATAGTTGTTTTAGGATTAAATTAATAATAAATATATTTACTTACCTCTCAGGTTTAGATCGAAGTCTGAACTCGGCTGAAACAAAAAGAAAAGTTTCATAGATTTGATTTTACTGGTTTGGTTTTGTAAGTTTCCCTTTTAAGGGTGTTGAGATGGAATTGATTTGTATCCATGGATCAACTAGTTGTTCCATGTTTGTATCGTACTTTGTGTTTATAAAAAAAATCATATATCTGATTCGGAAATAGTGTTGAGAGATAAGATCAACTTAATTAACTGGAAAGTAAATATACTTAGTATTTATTGTTATTTTAATTTTATAATGAGAACATTTCTGTTCTTCTCTTTCTCCATGCCATAGAATTAGAAACAACTCACCAGAGTGTTTGGAGCTAATGTTGGTAAGTTAGAGTAGGTTATGTTTACCCAATCATCCAACCCTGATTTCCGTCTCCGAATTCTCTCCGAACCCTGCTCCGCAATCCTTTCCTCTGCTGCGGAGACACAGGCTGGAGTTATACTTTTATTCTCATCAACCTGGAACAGAGAGAGAGGGGGTGGCTGCATCACGTTCTTTCTCCGGTTTCGGGAGTTATTCCGCCCGTGCTCCTCACTAGCTCCAGGTACTCCTTGAAACCTGGGGTGTGGATTCCTCTGGGGTAGAGAGTTCCTGCGCTTACGGAAGAATTTAGAATCCTCACTCTGGGAATCATACTCTAAAATAAAACTTAATTGAATATATCAACATTTTGAGAAAGCTAAAAATTTTGAAACTGCAAACTTGAGGTTGCCCGATAAAATTTAAATTAAACTTGCATTCTCTTGTTTTAAATGTTAATGAAGAGTTTGATCTTTGCTAATACAACTGTATATTTTGCTAGGTTCTGAAAATGTCATTGAGTCACAAACTTTTCTAATCCCTAAATCTGTGTAACCTAATGGTGTAAACTTTTGATATTTCAAATTTAGATTATTTGATCTAACAGAACTTTTAGGTTGAAATATCTAAGGTCTACAACATTTGGTTGCAAATATTTAGAGACTAAAAAATCAGAGTTTGTGGCAAAGACTTAATTCCTTCATGTCTTTTAATCGTTCCGTGAAGCAGCTGACAATCCCATTCTAATATCTTTGCCACCAGATAGTTCAAAACCTTTGACTATTTGATCTAGTAGAATTCATAGTTTAATACAACAAAATGTTACAAAGATTTAAGGTTTGGAAGTTAGAGTACGAAGACAAAGGAGAGAAATCAGGTCATTTACAGAAACTTGGGAAACCGGAAAATTTGAAATGTAAATTTAGAACATCTACTTTAATTATTAGTCTTATAATAAGAATCAGAAAACTCTAAAAGACTCCGTTATGCCTTTAAATACTCCAATGAACATGAGAAATAACAATTATGCAGTGTAAACAACCTCACTTTATCTCCCCATTTAAATGAAACTAGCCCCCCCCCCCAAAAAAAAAAAATTACATTTTATTATTTTCAAATTCAATGAGTATTGTTTTTATACTATAGAGATGGTAAAAGGCATTTTTGAAAAATAATAAAAATCTCCAGTCAAACTTAGAATCCATGAAAAGAGAAACTATTAACGTATAACATTAACATTAATAGGACTCTTTGAAGATTTTGTATTTATTGTTTTTGAAATAATAGGAATAAAATTGTAATTAAAAAATACAAAAGGTCGATGCAGTGCATGCACTGTGCAAAGAAAAAAAAAGAATTAAATATATTGTTTAAAATGTACTTTTACACCTCTAAATATAAAATTATAAATGGATAAAGTAAGATATCTAAATCCAGGGGGGGGAGCCTACCCCCCTTCCCATGTTTAGGGTGGGACACACAGCTTCCATGCTTCCCCCCTCCGCACCCTGTAAACGCCCTTTTTTCAAAATAATTTTAGTGTCTTACCTGCCGAATGATGCCGCTTCTTTAACCAGTTCCGAACCCTCTCCATGGTTATGGCGTGCCGAAGATCCAATTGATCCGATACTGATTTGTCTCCGATTAATTCGAACCAACCCGTCTCTAGTTCCCATGGATACAGGAGCTCTATATGAGAATTTTGATGATCTGAACCTGGAAAGATCTGATAATGGAAAATCGGCTCCAGTTCTCTGCTTGTTTAAGATATTCTTGTCAAGTTCGGTTTTATTTTTCTCCAGGTCCCCTTGTCACTAACAGTTTGAACTTGCTTGACTCTAGTATCCTTCTGTCAATACTAGGCTAGAGATGATGGTAGTTGATGGACTGGTTTAGGGTGAATCTGTGAATTCTATTTACGTCATGGTGGTCAAATCTGTTTAATANNGAAAGGGGGGGGGCAATTGTGGGGTTGAGTTTAAGAACACACACAGTACATTCAATTAACCAACATATTTAAACTTATTTAAATCTTACCATGACTGAAATTATATATTTGGAAATCTGAATATTTTTTCAAGTTAGTATTGAAATAAACAAGTTTTTAGGAAAATTTCTGAAAAGTTGTTCCAGAAAGATCTCTTTCTCCTACCAATAATTATAGAAAGGGAGGACAAAAATTAGTTAAAGTACAATTCATTATTCACCCAAAGTTTGTCCCAATTTCAGGTACTAACCCTATCTTTTCTTTTCAACCCTTTCCTATTCTCGCCCCGCTCTTTATCTTCTTATCCTTACTCTTCTAATCCTTTCTCTTCTAATCCTTCCCCTTCTAATCCTTCCTCTTCTAATCTTTCTTCTCCTAAACCTTCCTCGTCTTGCCCTTTATCTTCTAATCCCCCTTCTTCTAATCCTTCCTCTTATAAACCTTCCTCGTCTTGCCCTTTATCTTCTTATGCTTACTCTTCTAATCCTTCCTCTTCTAATCCTTCCCCTTCTAATCCTTCCTCTTCTAATCTTTCTTCTCCTAAACCTTCCTCGTCTTGCCCTTTATCTTCTAATCCATACTCTCTTAATCCTTCCTGTTTTTTACTTCCTCTTCTAATCCTTCCTCTTCTAATCATTCCTCTTCAAATCCTAGCTTCCTCTTCAAATCCTTCCTCTTCTAATCCTTCCTCTTCGTATCCTTTCTCTTCTAATCCCCCTTCTTCTAATTTCCTTCCTCTTATAAACCTTCCTCGTCTTGCCCTTTATCTTTTAATCCTTCCTCTTCTAATCCTTTCTCTTCTTATCCTTCCTTTTCTAATCCTTCTTCTTCTAATCTTTCTTCTCCTAAACCTTCCTCGTCTTGCCCTTTATCTTCTAATCCTTACTCTCTTAATCCTTTTTCTCTAATCCTTCTTCTAATCATTCCTCTTCTAATCCTTCCTTTTCTTCTAATCCTTCCTCTCCTAAGCCTTTCTCTTATAATTCTTCCTCTTCTAATCCTTCCTATTTAAATCCTTCCTCTTCTAATCCTTCCTCTTCTAATCCTTTCTCTTCTAATCCTTCCTCTCCTAATCCTCCCTATTTTAATCCTTCCTATTTTTATACTTCTTCTTTTTATACTTCTTTTTATCCTTCCTCTTCTAATTCTTCCTCTTCTAATCCTTTCTCTCCTTATCCTTCCTCTTCTCCTAATTTTTCCTCTCCTAATCCCTTCTTTCCTAATTATTTACTTCCTAATCCTTTTTATTCTTAAGATTCCTCTCCAAATCATCCTTTTCCTGGTCTTTCCACTCCTAACCCCGATCCATATTCTTCCTTATCCTATTCCTTCTCTACTAATCAGTTCTCCCATAACCATTTTCTCCTCTTTCTTCATTGTTTTCTAAATCTTTCTCGTCATATTTTTCCTCACTCTTTACTCTTCCTTTACTCCCTTCATCACTTCTAATCCCTCTTACAACTTCTTGGTTTCACGAAGCGAAACATTTTTAAACTGTTAAAAAAATAACATTTTTATTTTTAGCAATCATTAAATAATAAATTGAAAACTTACGTAGCATCTGATTTTCTTCTTTTTCTCGTCTGCATTAGAGTTGGAGCGCCGTCTTATTTTCGCAACTATACTGGAGACATGGGCGCGCGCATGCTGACCAGCGCTCAATGCGCGTGCTCGAAATTCTTTGACTTCCGTCTGAAAACAAAAGTAGAAATAGTTTAATGAAATATTTTATCATTGAGACCAAATGTACCATGGTAGAAGAGCGTTTACGAAAAGGTTCAGTCTCCTCTTCAGTTTCTCCGGGTTCAGTTTGCTCTTCGTCCTGCTCCACAACCTTGACAGGGTTCTCCTGGAACAGATAAAATTAGCATGAAAAGTAATTGTTGGAAATTTGAAATTCTGGAATGGAAAATTAAGAAAAAGCTAGATTTTAAAACAAAGAACCAAATAAGAATATGTTAAAAGAGAATCAATAGTAACAGAACGAATGATTAAGAGAGAATTGAAAGAAAGAGGATAGATCAGGAGAGATAGTCGAAAGTTTTCCACAATAGAGATATCTTTTACATACTCTAATTATTCCAAATACAAATATTTATTACACACATTATTCCAAAATATAGATATATATTAAATACTCTAATGATTCCACAATAGAGAAATCTATTACATACTCTAATTATTCCACAATAGAGAAATCTATTACATACTCTAATTATTAAAAGAGAAATCTATTACATACTCTAATGATTCCACAATTGAGAAATCTATTAAATACTCTAATTATTCCACAATAGAGAAATCTATTACATACTCTAATTATTCCACAATAAAGATATCTATTACATACTCTAATTATTCCACAATAAAGATATCTATTTGTTAACACAAATTCGAAATATAAGGAAGACGATTTTACGGACTCCGATGCCGTTGCCCATTGCTTGTTTTAAAGACGTATGAATCCTTTTCCGCCCACATGTCACCCTCGCTCCTTTGTTCCCCGCCTCACCCCTATACACATCCCAGCCCTCAGTCAGGTTAGGAGAGTTGAGCTAGTAGTAGCTCCGACACAGGGAGCCTCTTGACTCCTTTATGATGATGACGCAGATACTCAGCCCAACGCACCTGTTGATCTGCTCCACCAACATGAAGCTCTACATCACCCCATGACTCCTTTATGATGATGACGCAGATACTCAGCGC